CATTAACCATGCACTTTCGTGCGCCGGTTTTGGTTGCTGTCTTTTGGCTGCCCATTGGTATGAAGACTAGGAGAAGAAACGAAAGTTGAAAGTGGAGTCGACCAGAAAATGGAGAAGTTCAGTGGTCTAAGGTTGTAAAGAAACTGGGGAGATGCACAAACGCCACTGTTTACGACACCCAGCCATATCATTCAGTATATCTAACCATCGGTTACGATCATCCCGAGGTCCCCAGCCAGGGAGCCTAACAGGACCTATGTGGCCCAGTCTCCTGGTTAGGGTTTTCATACCCTCGTGCCAGGTCTTAACTTGACCACCCTGGGCTTTTTTCCACTCTGTATCTTATTTGGCGAACATCACTCGCCGTGGTAACCTACCTGGTGACATGCGTAGCACGTGTCCCAAACAACGTAATCTATGGAGGTCGATCACTTGCTCCAGTGGGCAACCGCGGATATCCAAAACTCTGTCCCTAACCTCAGCATTGCCAGTCCGGCTGCCCCACTAGATTCCTGCAACGCAGCATAGACAGCAATGTTCAAACACCGACAGTTTATCTTTGTCCTGTTTTCTTAATGGCCTAGTTTCTGCTCCATATTGCAGAAATGGCCGAACTGCTGCAGCATACGCTCGATTCTTCACAGACAGCCGGATGTCCCGACGGCGCCACAGATGTCTCAAGTTGGCAAATGCCAACCGAGCCTTCTGTATGCGAGCTGATACTTCATCTGTAATGCGTCCACCGCGTGAGATGTAGCTGCCCAAATAAGAAAACTTATCCATCGGCTTTATTACTTCCCCAGTTAGGGTGAGGCTGGATGCTGGACCAACCCAGTCTCGTAGGAACATTTTACACTTTGAGGGTGCAAAACGCATACCGAATATGGCTACTCTGGCATTCAAGGTATCCAGAAACGCTTGCAACCTACCTGGATCTTCACTTAGCAGCACAATGTCGTCTGCGTACCCTTATCAGGCAGTCTGCCTCTTGGGAGTAAATCGATACCGCTATCCTCGCACGAGGATAGGGCTGTTTCCATAATCACATCTATAACCAAGTTAAATAGAAAAGGAGAAAAAGGGCAACCCTGACGAACACCACTTTCCGTGGTGAACTCAGGCCAAAAAGTACCGTAAGCTCGGACTCCACTTCGGCTATCAGTATAAAGCGATCGTAATATTGAAATAAACTTCCTGGGCACTCCCTTCAGGGAAAGGAAGCGCCAGAGTTTAGAACGGTCGACTGAGTCGAAAGCCGCCTTCAGATCTAGGAAGACAGAGATGGTGTGTCTGCGAAAAGAATCTCGATGCTCCAGAATTTGGCGGAGAGTGAAGATGTGGTCGATACAACTTCGACCGGGCCTAAAACCAGCCTGGTTCTCACGTGTGCACCGTTCACGTGCGGCCGACAATCAGCGGAGTATGATGCCGGCGAGAAGTTTAGAGACGATTTTGATTAAACTTATTCCTCTGTTGTTTTCACAAGAGGATCTATCATCTTTATTGTAAATCGGTATGATCACCGATTCACACCATTCAGCTGGAACCTCTTCCCTTCCCCATATTGAACCCAGGAGTTTTGTCAACTCCAAGACTAACGCTGAGCCTCCATCGTTAAACGTTGATGCGAACAGCCCATCTGGGCCAGAGGCCTTATGCCTTTTGAGATAACTTATTTCCCGAGGTACCTCCATTTCAAATGGAGGACTACCATCAACTGGGATTATTAGTACAGTCGAGGCGGAGAGTGAACGATAAGAAGTCGATGGGGGACAGTTAAACTGAGCTTTGAAATTTTCAGTCCAACGGTCAAGACGGCGTTGCTGATGGTGAATCAGTGTGCCATCGGATTCTTTAATTACCTCACGCCTATTTTCCTAGAGCCTGTATTCCTAATTAGATGGAAAAGGTTACGACTATTACCAATAGCCACAGCTTTCTCCATTTATTTGCACTTTTCTGCCCACCACTTCTCGCGGTCATTCCTCAGACTCTTGATGAGCTAGCGTTTAAGGGATTTGCGCGCTGTGTCGCGTGTGGCACCGGGAGGGAGGGTTCTGCGGGTGTCCAGCAGGGCGGCCGTGAAATTGCAAGTAGAGAATCATTTCATATTTTCTATACTCAAAAATCACTGTAAACCAAAAGCACTGCGAGTGAGCACAGCTGATGAACCTCAACAGCGTTCCAGATCTGTGCATAAATTCCCCTGAACCAGTGGGCACTGTGAATTAACCTTTTATGTATTGGACGGAGTTCACGTATAGAATTCACAATTCATTATGTCTGTTTCGGTTGGTTTTAGTAGGTTTGTTGGGTGTGTACCGATAGCTATTCCGCAGGAAACGATTAAACGATACTTCAAGAGATAAACGATGGCCAAATGTCATGTCATGAATTTAGTTAGATCGATAACGGGTGAGTGTTGACACAAATCCAGGGATTGCTGTCCAGCGATTTCGAATAAAATAAAACGGACGCCACTGACTGGCGTCAAAGTTGTGTGTGTGTGTGTGTGTGTGTGTGTGTGTGATAAAGATGCAGCAGAAGCAAGTCCCACAGTTGGATATATCTGAACGGGAGAACGGGAAGAATAATAAGATGTGGTACCACGTGGCGTGGCTTACTGTCCAAATGTCTGTCTCTCTGTTCGGTGAGGAGTGGCGCTGTTGAGCAGCTCAGCAATACTTGTTCACAACGCGGTCCACAAGAATAGGAACTATCTATAGTCTTCAATCTAAAAACCTAGTTTCATGAGCATTCATTTCAACGTGTGTCATAAATCGATATAACTTAGCTATTACTATCCATGGAGAGGAGGTATGTGGGCGTTTTCTGTATGGTCATGTTAAGTTTTGACGGTTCTATATTCCTAACTAATCACAATATAAATACCGGTCNNACCGGTCTGAAAGAGGCACATCGCCACTCCGACACTGTCAGCCCACCCCACCCCTCTCTCTCCTACACCCAATTCTATCTCTCGCACAACTTTGTACGGATAGATGGGAACACTTTACGTCCTGGATGTGGAGTAGAAAACCAATTCAACCGGTGTTGAAATTGCAGACAACTAACTGTCCTGGTAATCAATGATCAGGAAAGCAAACCAGTTTGGATTACCTTAGCATTCCGTGATTGAACTAACAGGATCAAAACGTCCCACAAAGGGCGTACCTTGTGAATTTGTTTGGGGAAGGGGGTGGAACTC